GGTGACAGAGCAAGACTCTGTCTCCAAAAAAAAAAAAAAGAAAAGGGAGATGACATATATTTAAATTTTTGTCACTATGAGGTGTGCATGTGTGGGTGTTGGGGGATAATAGGACCAGATTTTTTTTCTTCCACAGAATGTGAAGAAACAATAGCTGTGCATAAACGGGTACTACTGTGGGTATGGTATAAGAACATTTCCTTAGGAATGATTAGGACTATTTGAACTTCACAGTGTGAGGGAGAAAGCACTTGTTTGTGGGTGGTCTTAAAGTTTTAGATGGCAAAGAGCCAATAGGCAGGGCTAGATTACAAAGGAGAGTGCTTGAGTCTCTGTGATTAACCAAGGAGACACCATTACATGAAAACAAGAACAACGCCTCACATCGAAGAAGAAATAGTTCAAACTCTCTTTATAAAATGAATGGCTCTGGCTGTCGGCTCATTTTGTTGCTCTCTGTGTGCATGTATTTGGCATCGCCTAGAAAAGCATTTGAAAAAATATGTACATTTTAAAATGACCCTTTGGTACCTAAAGGCTGAGAATAGGGTGTCTTGCTCTGGCTGGCACAACTTCCTGAGCTGTGAACAGACCTAGAGAAAGTCCAGTGGTAACTCCGAGATGAGAAGTGCCTAGAAAGATGGGTCCAAAAGCGGAAGACATGACCTTGAAGAGTCTGGCTGGGAGGAAAGGAGACCTCCCCAAACCATGAGTGGCACAGACCACGTCAGACCATGAGTGGTACAGAAAAGGTAAGCGTGGATTATTATGTTTTTAAACATATTCTGAAATTCTTGAGTGAGGGAAATTTGGATCAGATGAAAGGAAATGCCATGTTATGGCACAGATAATAAAAGTAAAGAAGCTTGTTACTTTCAAAATGTGGTCCTGGCAGGAGATATACATAGATCAGAATGGATCTAAAGGACTCGCAGCTGCCAGGAGAAGCTTGGACCTACCTGATCTTTAGGCACAGAAAACAGTGCTCCTTCCAATGGACACCCTTGGGGCCATTGCTGCCAGGAGAGCCCAAACTCTGGGCCAGACTAAGAATTCCCATGGGTTTGACTGTGGGGGCTTCTGATTTGTTTGTGTCCTTCCACCCTACTTCCTTCCTTTGCTGGAGCCTCCATCAGGGCTTTGGTTTCTAACAAATGATATGAACAGATCAGAGTCTGTTTCAATGTAGAACATTATCTAGGGAGGAGGGGAAACATACCCAATGCCATTTCATTCATTCATTCATTCGTTCATTCATTCATTCATTCAATGAATATGATTAAGCACCTACCACGTGCCAAGTGCCAGGAATGAAATAAAAAACTATCATGATCCTCAGGGGCATCAACAATAAACACAACAAATGAATATGTAATTATGAATTATGGCAATGCTACAAGGGAAGGAATACCAAGCTCTGAGAGGAAATGTGTGTGTGTGTGTGTGTGTGTGTGTGTGTGTGTGTCTGTGTCGTGGGGCTGGGCGAAGACTAGAAAAAGCTGGCCAGAAAAAGACTCCCTGAAGAGGAAATAGTCTGGGAATTAAAGGGTGAGTGGGACCCAGCTATGCCCAGTGTGGGGAGAATATTCCCAGCAGAGTAAAAATGTGTACAAGGGTCCCAGGGTGGGAAAGAGCTTGGTGTGTTCAAGGGGTAAAGAGACCCATGTGGCTGAACTTGGAGCAGAGATGGGCGGTGAAGTGCAGGTGGAAGTGGAAGGTCAGGCAGAGGCCAGGTTACGCAGGAATGGAAGCTTGTAGGTCACAGCAGGGAGTTCGGATGTCAGATGAAATCCAAATGAAATGAGGGAGTTTAAGTCATTTATTCTTTTAAAAAATTAGTGATCCGTCTTTTAAAGTAATTGTACTTGGACGTGACTGGCTATCTCCATTAGGACTGTGAAAATGTGCTGCTCTTGTGTGTGATTCATTACTGAGATATATCACTTATTCTCCTTTGGCTGTGGTAGGAATCTCTGATAGCTGGAAAGCTCTTGAGAAAGGGGGACCAGTTGGTAAATGGGCAAGGACTTGATAATTCCTTGCACTCTGAATCTATATCCATTATCTCACTCTCCAATGAGCTGAGAGCCAGAGGTGCCTGCCAGGCCTTCAGCAGAGCTTTTAAGTGTCTATTTTCTGTCTGTGCTCTCTTCTGTCTGCTTCTCTGACTCTGTTCTCCACTCCTCTATGGTGCTTGAGATCACCTCACAAATAAATTGCTTGCATTTAAATCCATGTCTCACAGGCTGCTTCTGGGGAGACCCAACCCGAATATTAACTTGAGTTTAAACAAAGAAGAAAAGAAAAGAGAAAGCTTACCGAGCTTCTTGGCACCCATTAAATCTAGGCTTTCTTCTCCTAAAAGGGGTGGATGATGTCATCAAATTCTAACTCTGAAGCAACTGAGAAGCTGTGACAAACTTGGAGTCAAAGGCCACCATGCCACTCCTAGGTGCCACAGTCTGTCGGCTCCATTAACAGCTGGTGAAACTCAAGTGAAGATTGAGAAGGTCAGATTGTAAAAAGAATATTTTGATATGCTGTGAATAGATGTGAATTAGATAAGCTAGTGGGAAAGGGGACACGAATACTATTGGAATCGTCCAGAAGGAAATCTGTGTCAGGCAGCCATAATAAATGACTTGTAATAAATCTGTCAGAAGTTTCCTTACTTCATACCCTATCCTCCATGACCAAAGATCTCTTGTGATCTATGATGGCTTGCAATCCAAATAATCAAAAGTTCACAAGCTAACCAAGAATAGAATCTTTGGTGCAGTATAGGAATAAATACTTCTTAATTTATTTCATCTTCTGACACAAAATATTTTGTGAAACACCTTTTTATTCCTGTAATTCTGAGTGAGTGTTTTTTATTTTGTCTCATAATGAAGCTATTGAGATGTCATTGTTCTGGGCCCTACAACTTTCTGATTCTCTTTATGGAGCTTTTAAAATCATGGATTGGAAAAATAGGATATAGCGTTTTGCTAAGGACAAACTGTAACCAACAGGAACAACTTGATGCAGTGATTAATTCTGTAATTTTGAGGACTGCAACTGTGAGACCAAACCAAATACAAGAAACAAATACTAGACAAGAGACACATATGATGATGGAATCCTGGGAGGCTAAGTTCAGTCAGAAAACCCTCCCCAGTGTCATCTTTTACCGTAAGAACTGAGTCTAACTCAAGGCCATATTACTAAGTTCTGAGTTAAGGCTATGGCAAAATTGTATTTTATAGTGATGTCCAAATGTTAATCTTTGAAACAAGTGCATTCTTTTGTATGCCTTATTAAGTATTGTTCAAGCCTAACACATCACAGCAGGACTAGCTAGACTCAAGGCTGAAGTTGGAAGAAAAGAGGTATTGAAATAATGAAGGATAGAAGGAATCCTTCTCAATCAGCTCGCAGCCTAGGGGATCTCTTTCAATGCCTTTTGCTTCGATGGGCCAATGAAATTATGAAATCATGAAAATAAAAAGGGAAGGGCTAACAAGAGCCAACAAAAGCAGGAAGTGACCTGTTAGTGGTTTTCTGAAAGATGTAGGTATGCATGGCGGATATTGAGAATGAACTCTAACGTGGCTCATTCTGGCTTCTTTAGGTAGTCGACTTGTGATACCTATAGGTATTTAGTTGATGAATGAAAGCATGTTTTAAACTAGTTTGGAAATTTTAAAAATACTGACATGTTTATGTTGCTTGGGACCCTTTTTATGTCAGGGGTAGCTATGTGCTGCCAAATCACATGTCCTCCGAAAACTATAAATGCAGAAGTTCAAATCAAGCTTTCAAAGAAGTCAGAGTGCTAATTCTTGTGGGAAACACTATGAATTGGAAAGTACGAGGATGACAGGAAAGTGGATCACACTTCAAGGGAAAAAAAGGTTTGGCATCTAGGTCATGGGCACGTCTTCTGTCTTCTGGTTCTTTCCTTTTCTTATATTTAATTTTAAATCCTGAAATAATTCAATGTAAAAGCTGATTACAGTCTGAGACACATTAGAACTTTGAATGAGAAAGTTAAATGTGACGCCATATTGATTTTATGGTCATGGTGAGGAAATTGCATTTTTAAATTACATCTTCAGATTTGGTAAGTGGACTTCAGAATCAAGGAAGGAGAATGGCTTTAGTTGTCCATCAGGGGAATCCTAATACGTATTGCTGGACTCCAGGGAGCAGCCCAGTGCACGGCTGGCTGCCGAGAAACCAGCTGAGCCCCACGCCGACCAAATTGTGTGGAAAAGCGTAGACCAACAGCACAAAGACTCCAGGGCCAGATTCTTGGCCTGACTCTGCCTCTTCATGCGTGACCGTGAATACTCTTTACCTCTCTGGGCCCTGGTGGCTCATCTCTAAACTCCAACCCTCATAGTTTACAAGTCTACAAGCCATGGAGAAAGAAAATAGAGTAAACAGGAGAAACTTAAAGTATAGGGGTCCCTATGCATGGCCCTAAGCCCTGTTTCTTATGAAGACACATTTGCTGAGAAGAATTGACCTGGGTAAGTGATGGGATTGTTGGTGGGTGAAATACATTTTCTTTTTCATACCTTCTTTTTTGTTTATGTTGTCTATGATGAGAATGTCTTGTTATAATAAAAATGTTATGGGCAGGGGCAAATAAAGTTAATATCAAGGAAAAACAAAAGCAAATATCTGATCTCGGCCCAGGGAGTATGAGAAATTCCCCTGAAAGCATCCGTCTCTTCTGCTTGGGTGTGTTTCCCTGGGTCAGACCCACATTTAGGATCCACGGGTATCCAACTGCTTCTAAGGGCTACCAGGTTATCAATTCACCATCAGGGTGGGCAGGTGGAGTCAGTGTCAACTGGGACCTGCTGAGGCTTTGTGTGCATCTCCTGATACAGGGCCTGGGGCCAGGCGAAGTTTACATGGGGCTAAACTCAGCTGTTTGTGTTGGCGGGAACAGCCTGACAACCTGGCGGGATTTGCTCAGGTGAGCGTCCTTTTGTGCTGTTTTTCAGCTCGCCCATGCTTCGTGGGGGAATGGAGCCCCTGGAGTGGTTGTGCAGACCAGTGCAAGCCTACAACCCGTGTGCGGAGGCGCTCTGTGCAGCAGGAGCCTCAGAACGGTGGGGCGCCCTGCCCACCCCTGGAAGAGAGAGCCGGCTGCCTGGAGTACTCCACCCCGCAGGGCCAGAACTGCGGGCACTCCTATGGTACTGATGTTTTCATGGTTGCTACCTTTGTTATCTGTGATGACTTTTTGACCACTTCATCCCATAAAAGGCCATATGCTGTGCCAGGGAAAGTTCCATCCACCACAGGGAGTGGGATGGGCCAGGCTGCCCAAAGTAGATAGGAAGCTCAGGAAATGCTTAATAAAGGAATTATGGCCAGCTGTGCAAACGCCTGCCTTTCCCTCACTTCCCTTCGTGTGTTTTATAATCCGATGGCCCATTCTCATTGTGCATGGGCTCAGTAATGAAATAAACCGCATGCTTGTGGTTTTGAGTGAACTCAATCAAGCTAGTCATGAAGGACTTTAGATAGGAGGATGACATTTCACACAGCATAGTAAGTGTCCAGGAAGGATAACGCTATTTCACCTTCCACTGCAATTCCTGTTTCATTATGCACACTCACACATGTGGGAAAATCGCAGAAAAATCACAGAATTCTAAACAATGATAAAATGATTGTTTTATTATTATTGTTATTATTATTTATTATTACTATTTTTGAGATGGAGTCTCGCTCTGTCACCTGGGCTGGAGGGTAGTAGCATGATCTTGACTCACTGCAAGTTCTGCCTCCCGGGTTCATGCCATTCTTCTCCCTCAGCCTCCCAAGTAGCTGGGACTACAGGCACCCGCCACCAGGCCCAGCTAATTTTTTGTATTTTTTAGTAGACACAGGGTTTCACTGTGTTAGCTAGGATGGTCTCGATCGCCTGACCTCGTGATCCACCTGCCTTAGCCTCCCAAAGTGCTGGGATTACAGGCGTGAGCCACTGCACCCGGCGTTTTATTATTATTTTTAAATGATTCCTTTTACCTGCCTCTCCTCTCAAGACTGGATTGGGGCTAAAGTAATTTGAAAAGATCACTCTGGTTTTGGAGTGGCCAATGGAGGGGCCAGGAATCGGCTCATTAATGAGCCAGAGACCGTACAAGGCTCACAGAGAAATAAATGAAAAAGTTAATGTGTTGATCTGCATTGAATCCAATAGGGCAAACACTGACTTCTCAGGATAGCAAAAACCATATGTTTCTCATAGGAATGTGGAAATTTCATGTCAACACAATCCTTATAAAGCCATTTTGTTCCTTCTTTTTTTCCACACACGAATATTTATTGAGAGTCTACTTGATGCCAGGTGCTGGGCTGGGCACTGGGGTCACGATGGTGAGAGAAGTTGATGTGGAGCCTGCTGTCAGGTAGATCATAGCCTAGTGAGAGGGGTGCAATCATCAGATAATCCAGGGAGTTAATGGATTTACAGCTGCAGTAATTGGTGCAACCTGTAGAAAACAAGTGAGAGGTGCAGGGAGCTCTCAGCGGGTGTAATCAGGTGATTCCCCTTGGTCTTGAGGGAAAAGGAAGAGGAGGGGCTTCCCTGGAGATGGGGCTGAGGTATGTAGACTGCCCAGGCTGGCAGACTAGTGCGGTTAAACCTGATGGCCAGGTGTAGAGGGTTTGAGGGATTTGGAAGCTGATCAAGGGAAAAGCTGTATCCACGAGAGGCAGTAGCACAGCAAGCTTTACTGGGCAGTGCTTGGACAGGGCTGCATGAGAGGGGCCGCCCTCACAGCATGAGACTTTTCAGAGGCTTATGGTGGGCTGGGGAGAAGGGCACAGCAGCTCCTGGGGGAGAGGGAGACTGGAAAGGGGCCTTAAATGTCAAGGTGAGGTCATCCAGCAGCACAGTGGGGAGTCTCTTGGTCAGAGACCTCAGAAGGGCAGCAGCATCTTGGGGTCTGATAACACAAGGCCTATCAGTGGCCAACAGATGCTGGGTATAGTTTCACAGGTGTGCAGGCAGGCAGGCCTAGGTGGCTAAAAATCTGCCTATTTGGCTATTTAAAAACAGTTGCATGTGTAAAAAATTTGAATTTTGTGCCAGCATGTTTGCGAGCTAAAGGGTCTTAGCCTAGCATGAGGAATAAGCATCTTTGGCTCTTTTATGTAACATGGGGGAGCGCAAGGCCTGCACCCAATTGGCAAAGGAAGGTTGGCGTGTGGGGCGCACAGAGAACACCCTATTTGGGATTCTGGGCTTTATCTTTGGGGTATTCTTTGCAGGTGAGAAGATCACTCTGGTAGTGGAGTGGCAAGTGGAGGGGCCAGAGTATTGTTCCCCATTGATGCGGAGGTCATATTAAGGTCACAGGGAGATCACTGAGCGCTTCAGGCATGGTTGCTCACAGACATATGCCCAGTCGCTTTCAGAGACACTACACAAACGGCTCGGGGAGGAAGACGCTGTGGGACATTGTGGATGTTTTTGTGGTTCTTAAAAGCCAGTGCCAACCTATCAGGTAAAAGCAGCCCACCTACTCCTGTGCCGTGCCTGACTGCTAGAGGGTTCCTTCAGCACATCAGGCTCTTCAGTGGGGCACCAGGCTGTCGCGCTCCCCTTCCCAGCCCTGGCTCTCTACCCAGGACAATGCAGGAAGTTGTTAGCGACTATGTCTTAGCATATCTGTACTGAACAGCCTCCTTCCCTACTATCATAAAATAAAAGATGTCAGCTTGGGAAGAGAGGAGAAATCTCTACTTGAGGGAGGGCGGCTGGCATTTGCAGTCCTGACTTTGGTCCCCAGCATTCCCCTCCTATTGGAGATGTCTTGGTGATGATTACTCCTGTCACAAGCTAGTTGGGGAAGACAGGACCCCTCCAACAACCCTGTCTGGTGATTCCTAACAGGTGGTCCTGGAGCAGCAGCATCAGGATCTGCTTCCTCAGCCTCACCCACCCAGACCCATGAGATCATAATCCCTGCATGTGGGCCCAGCACTCTGCATTCTAGCAAGGCTTCCAGGGGCTTCGGATGCTCACTGGAGTTTGAGAGCCACTGCTGTAGCCCAAG